AAGGACTAATGAAAAAGAGACATGGGGCAGAGGTATATGAATGGAGTTCTCAGGCTGAGCACAAAATGTGAGGATATTTGTGTCCCATGTGATGTTTATCAAAGGGAAACCACTGCAGAGAAGACCTCCATCCATCAAATAGATGAGTTGAATCCTCCTGTGCATGTTAGTCAGCCTCTTTCCCTAGCACCCCAGTGCTTGCTTAGTGGGCTCAGGTACAAATTAAATATGGCAGCAGGGAAGGAGGTTATTCATGGGTTCAACAACATGAAATTCCCCTCACCAAGGGTAATCTTGCTAACCTGCTGAGTACCTAACCTGCTAAAAACAAAGACCCATAGTGAGCCACCATAAAGGCCTCCCCTCCTAAAAAACACCAGCTCCCTGGTGGCCGATTAATTACATGGGATCCCTTCCCTAATGGAAGGGCCAGCAAATTGTCCTTATTAAACTGATACTTCTGGATATTAATCTGAAGTCCCTTCCTCTAATATAACCAACTATGATCCTATAGACATGATATCCCTCACAATATAACTTCTGAATCAGAAACTCATTTCACAACAAAATAAATGTAGCAATGGATGAAATTCATAGGCCTTTCCATATACCTAATCACCCCAAAGTGGCTGGCTTGGTAGAATAACATAATGACCCGTTAAGACTCAGTTATGCTGGGTGTGGTGGCTCACGTCTATAATCCCAGCACTTTGGGAGGCTGAGTCAGGCAGATCACTTGAGGTCAGGAGTTCGAGACCCACCTGGCTGACATGGTGAAACCTCGTCTCTACTAAAAATGCAAAAAAAATAGCTGGGTGTGGTGACATGCACCTGTAATCCCAGCTACTCAGGAGGCTGAAGCATGAGAATCACTTGAACGCAGGAGGTGGATGTTGCAGTGAGCTGAGATCACACCACTGCACTCCAGCCTGGGTGGCAGAGCAAGACTGTCTCAAAAAAAAAAAAAAAACCAAACTCAGTTATTAGTCCTGGTGGGAGACAAGCCCCTGAGAGATTTCATTGCTATTATAGAAAATGTAGCATATAGTTTGAACCAGTGATCAGCATACAATTATATTTCTGCCATTGCCAGAATACATGGGTCCAGGAATCAAGGGATAAAAATAGGACTGATTCCTCTTAGTAGTATACTTAATAAACCTCTCACAGAATTTCTAATTCTCATCCCTGTAAACTTGGACTATGCTAGTTTACAGGTCTTAGTTCACAAGGGAAGAATGTTTCTACCAGGGCACATAAAATGGTTCAAATGAATTGAAAATTGAGACTGATGCCTAAATATATTAGGCTTCTTATGACACTAAACTAAAAAACAAAGAGATCCCTGTATTGGTTGGGGTGACTGATCTAGAGTATTATTAGGGATATTGGTTTGCTGCTACACAATGAGGTCAAGGACCCCAGGGGAATCTCTGGATTGCCTCTTAAGACCTATTTAATAGTGAAAATTAATAAGCACCTCAACTACTAAGGACTCAGACCAATCCAGAATGAAAATTCAGCTTCCCTACTAGGTAAAGAACATTTGCCAGCTAAAGTGCTGGCCAGGAGCAATGAAAAATTAAGTAGAGGAAGAAGTTACAAATATCAACTACAGCTTCATGACCAGTTACAGAAACAAGTACCAAAGTAGTTGTGTAAATGTGCTTCATTGCTTGGTTTAAATATCTTTGTATATAATAACTATTTTTTTCCTTCCCCCTCTCAAGCCTTAGGAGTATAAGGAATGCCACTAATACTAGTGATAGTGATTTACAGTTTAATCTTCAAGCTACAGAATATCCAGGTGGGACTGTGACTAAACTAGAAGAATTAACACCAATGAGAACAATAGTAATTGGTGGGACTCTTTCTCCCCTTTCTGAGGCAATGATGAGTTTCATAAACAACAGAGAGTTAAATCTACATAGACAGAAGCATAAAACTGTTATTGCGGCACAGAAATTTAAATATGGGTAGAAAGATGTGTGTGGATGCTTAATATCTGAAAGGGTACTGGTTGGTTATTTTCTGTGGGCACTGAGCCCTCTCCCCATTTCACACACACATAGCCATCCTTCTATAGTCAGCTCTGTTCTCCTGAGGCTGAAATTCTGCGATCTACATTCCCCAGACTTCCTTGCCTGCTTGGTTCCTGTTAGGCTTGTCAATAGAAGGCACTTCTGGGAGATCAGAAGGTAGCACAGATAGCACTGTGATCCTTGTTGGCAGCCGGTATAGCGGTAACAGGGGTGGAGCGAGTCCATATTCGAATGGACCAGAGACAGCGCCTATTAGCAATTTTAGCTCTGGTCTAGGAAGGATTTGAGGAGTCTCCAATAGTGCAATAGCAGATGTAGGCTCTTAGCAGTTTCTAAACTCTTGAGTGTCTCACCCTTCTCCTTTTCTTTTCTTTTATCCAGCCCCACTCTCTCTCCTTTTAACTCTTACAGCCTTTTTAATTTGTAATCAATGTCTGTTTTAAATTTACTGTTTGAAATGCCTACACTAGTTTCTGATTTCCTAACTGGACCTTAACTGATTAACCATCCCTTGAGCTCCTGCATTTTTCAGTTCCAGAGTTTTTCTTTTTTTTGAGATAGAGTCTCAATCTGTCAACCAGGCTGGAGTGCAGTGGCACCATCTCAGCTCAGCTCACTCCCCAGCTCAAGCAATCCTCCCACCTCAGCCTCCTGAGTAGCTGGGACTACAGGTGCATGCCACCACGCCCAGCTAACAGTTTATATATTTTTTGCAGAGAGATGTTTCACCACATTATCCAGGCTGGTTTTGAACTCCTGAGTTCAAGCAATCTACGCACCTCAGCCTCACAAGTTCCTGGGATTACAGACGCGAGCTACCACAACCATTTCTATTGCCTGTTTTTTCTGCTGTTTCTATCTTGTCTCTTCATGTATCCAGTTACCTCTGATCATTTGCTAGATACTAAATTTTGAAATAATTTATAGATATAATTTGAGGCCTTAGGAAGATGTTAGCTTCCTTCAAAGAAGATTTGGAGGACTTGAGAGTATTAGAATCACAGAGACCTTCATCCAAGTTGAAGATTTAAGATTTTCTGGACCCACCAGAATTCTCAAACCTTACCTATAGTCTAGGACAATTGGTTTATGTACAGTTCACCTTTATTAACACAGTGTAGTCCTTTAGGGGTCCTACCTCTTGGCCCCACCTGCTTTATCCTCCAGACCCCAAATTTACTCCCTAGATCTTCAAGCTGACAAAAATGAACTCAGCCCTTCAGCTGACTATTGCAGGGTGGCAAATGTACGCATAGGAAGAAATAGCCCTAAGTGCTAGGTTTACTTCTCTGAATTCCTCTCCCCTCCAGGATTTAGCCCAGCAATTTTCACTGTCTTATTGACTTTGATTCTTTTTAAGAGGATGTGTTTTATATTTTGTTTTTAGTTTTCTTCAGTGAAAAGCTGGTCTGCCATCACTGAAGCAGAAGTCTTAATTATCTTTTCATAAGTATCTCAAGCTGAAAAGAAAGCAGAGTTTGAGGCAAAAATATCAATGGAAATAATTAAGAGTCTCTTCCTCTAATACTCAAGAAATACCAAAGAGACTCATAGCTTTTTGGTATATAATTTAAAATTTTATTTTATCCAAAGGTCAAATTACATTTATATAAATCGCTAACTCTGTCAAGATTTAGTTTTCTATTCTGATGTGTATGTATCTGTGAAAGACTTACATGTAAACATCTAAGAAAGTAATAATAACCAATACTTTTAAAAAATAATTTTAGCAGATAGAAATATCATTAAGTTGGAGAAAGTCATTACAGCGAACATTCAAGTTGATCTGATTCAAGCTCTTCTGTAAAGAGTCAAATTTGAGGATGAAAGGCTAAAAGGGCAACAGAAAGCATAAGCAGGAAGATATTTTTGCAGAGAAGAGTCAAGGTAAAATATTATATCATGATCCCCTCAATCCATCTCAACCACATGGCCAATATTCTCCACTCTTTTCTTTTTTGTTATGTTAATTTTCACTGAAACTTCAGTAAATCAAATGAAGGGGTAATAATGAGCAACCCCAAATTTTCAAGCCTATTTTCTCAGTTCCGTGTACCAGAAGGGTAGCTTCTCCTTGTTCTACATGCTTTTGCCATAGAATAATCTAACTACATTTACCAGTTCTCCAAAACACACACACACACACACACACACACAACACACTAGAATGAGAGTAAATAAACTGAACATCTCCTCATTAAAGAAACCCATAAAATAATCAACAGATAGGTATAATTAAATTACAAAGGTACCTGAAAATAAGACAATCAGATTGAACTGACATCATCACAGAACACTACTGTCAGGAAACACTGCTCAGCATGCCACATTCTCCTCACTTCCCTCCCCCATCAGTTATAATTGTATAATGATATCACTATACTTCATAGGTGGCAGTGAAAGGGATTCACTTGGCCTTTCTTCCATGACTCAGCCCCTTATTTTAGCAGCCCAGGTGGCTTCATGTGTACAAATATCCTTTCTGAGATATAAATGTCTACTTATATTTTATTACAGACTTTAATGTAAGTTTTATGGCTTCTTCTCTCATTAGTTCATGATAAATATATTTTACCATGTTTTGACAGATTTCATAATAAAAATAGTATTTTTATATAATTTCCTCCATCTAGCAAGGCAGGTTCATTCTGTATGAACATTTCTCTTCTTATAAAACAAGAAGTTCAATTTTTCAAATAAGAATTTTAATTGGAATCAAATCTCTAGTCCTAAGGCTAGCAAGTATCATGCTATTCTAAAACACCCTCAAAAAGCAACTGTAAATCTGGTCCTATAGAACTTTGTATTTAAACTAACAATTTATGTAATTCCATAAAAAAAATCGGTGTTATATTTTTCTTAACATTTATTAAAACATTAGACATAAGCTGAATGGGGGAAAATGGTGATCAAATGCTAAAAATATAAACATAAAAAAAGTAAACATGAAAACAAATTTCTTTTTAAAAAATCATTTAATTACAAGAAAATTAGCCAGAAAATTACATAGTTCCAAACAAATATTGTCTATAAAAACAAGTGTTCATTTACCGTGTTTTTGAATGTGTCTTTTAAATAATGTCTCATCTACTGAACCTAGTCTTTCCTGGCAAACATTAGAATATACAAGTTTTCTTCATGTTTAATATTTCATAAAACAGAACTGGCTTTTGTTCCTGAAGTTAGAATGATGCCTATCATTTTGCTTCAGAGAAACTAAAATTGCTCCCTGGTGACTATTTCAGTTAACCACTCCCAAAATCCAATGCAAAAACAACAAAAACACTGCTATTTTACTAAAAGATTCCTGTCTTCCATTTCATTTTACCAGCGCAAGTACAAATTCGGAGAAAATCTTCTTAAGTCCTGCAGTTTCAAATTCCTTTTGTAATTCATCCAACGCTGAATACTCTTTGACTTCAAATGCCAGAAACCTGCATTATACAAGAGAAACTCATGAATATGCCTAGATTTGTCAGAGTATAATTATCGATTCAGTTGCTTTTCCATCTGCAATAGTACTAAATTATACCTTTTGTGTTCTGTCTGTACTTTTGTTTCAAACAGCACACTAATCATTTTCTCTTTGCATTTCTTTCCACTTGAGTCCACATCTACTTTGGAGGTTTTCTGAAGAATCAGGTACTCCTAAATAATAAATCAGTACATTAAATACGTGTCTTACTCTGAATCTTAAAGTCCTAATTGTAAAGGAGCCATAAACCTGTAGGCTTATTTTCATGCTTAAAGAATACCCCTTTTTTAAATCAAGCAGTAAGAATTTTTACATACTTGTTTTTACATACTTGGCAGAATAATGTAGTGGTGAATACAGGAGTAAAGAACAATATAATCCAACTCCCCAAGTTTAAATCTGGATTGAACTGCCTACTAGTTCTTACTCTGGGCTGGTTACTTAAATCCTCTGTGGCTCAGTTGCCTTCTCCATAAAATGGGATTAATAGCAGGATCTACCTCATGGGGAAGTTGTACTGATTAAATGAAATAATACATGCAAAGCACTAGAGGAGTACCTGGATATAGCACCATGGCACGCTTGAGAGCACAAGCCACTGTTCTTACTATTACAAATTCAGCAGCTAAATGACATTACCAGGCACACAGCACTTAGCATTCCAAATTGACAGCATCTATAAATACGTACCTATACATCCTCAATCCTAGTATACAATCTTATAAAAATATGAGAAATTTATATAAAATGACATTTTAGAGAGAGCTGAAAAAGATCTCCTAAAAAAGTATTATTTCTCTACATTAGCAGGCTTCTAGTAAATATAAATAAATACTTGTTAATTAATTGATGTTTCAATCTGAGTAACAACATCTGCAAAATAGCTGTGTTTAGCCTAATATTCCTGAGCTGGCTTAAAGAGAAATCTGAGCCTTTTAGGTAAAGATGAGCAAGAAAATTAATTTGTATTTATTTTTTGTCAGCTATTATTTTACCCAAAAGGATCAAACGTTATAGATATACTACAAATCACTTTAAAACAAGAGGTTCCTCAGTCAGCCCCAATCCAAGATATGTATTAAATCTGAATTACTGTTGTATCTATATACTTTAACCCAGCATGAGTCTGGTTAACCAAATGCCAAAGTAGTTTTGTGATAAGAGCCCATCATGAAAAAACTAGGTCATTATTCTACAAATCTTTAAGATTATAGGCTGTTCACACTAAATTTGTCTTAAATAAATTCAAATGTAATTATTCGTGACCTAACGTATCTGAAAGTATAAAACCTATTAAGTGATTTGTAGCTCTTCTAAGACTTAAAATATAAAAAAGTTTTCCTCATCTTGTCCCACCTAAAACAGGTCAGATGAGATTAGAATAAGAACTTGAAAAATCTGAAGAAGATGATGATTTTGAAAGCAATTGCTGAGACAAGTCAGGTGGAAAGCAAAAGTTAGGTAGGAGGTGACAAGTTGACAGCCCTAATGATTCTACTTCTACTAACATGAAATCTCAGTTATAACAGACAAGCTCCTGTTTCCAGGTATTATAGATACCAAATTAAAGTGTCAGAATGTATTTTTAACAGCCAGAAAGTTACAAATCTTGCAGACTATCCACAAATACACACCTTGTTGTGCCTAACTATGGGAAGAAGTATTAATATGCACAAACTTTTAGTGCACATTTATAAAGTTCAAGCTCATAGCTAATTACAGAAACAAACACTCATGTGCCACAGAGCTTTTAAAAAACCTGTCACTTTATTAAGTAACATGATTTTTAAAATGTAATCTTATTCTTCAAGCTTTGCAAGTTTGTACTTGTAATTAGCAGTCAGACATTCTTTAAAAAGAAAAGGAAGATCCATTAAGATGGTAATAATGAAAGCAGAAACATCTTAATAATTAATCTATCCCATTGTTACAAAACACACTTAAAGACACACCATTTTAAGCAGAAAATAGCCAGATTCATACTCAACATTTAACTTTTTGGCACCTTGAGGTTGTTTCTGTCTCCCTGTAGTAAAATCAGTATTATTTTACCCATGAACATCAGTCTTCCTGTCAGCCTTAAATCTGAAGCCCACTTCTCCACAGTTTTGACATATTTAGTCTTTGCTCTCATGTGATCTAAATGCAAAAGAGTTATCCACAATCCATCATCCATGGTCGTGCTTGTTGAAAAAGTACACTCTTCATTGCCACTGCCAGTTTCTGGTTGGTTGAGGATATGCCTAAGATTCTGCTGAATCCAGAGAACCAGCTCATGAACCATAGGCTCTGACATAAGGCTCTCTGCTTGCTCAAGTAATTTCTCTTTCACAGTCACACACTGGGCCCTGGTCAACCGTTCAGAGTTAACCGAGATACCAGGTAGACATGAAGGATAATTGACTGGCAAATGGAACACCAATTCCAGAGGTATATCCGCATCCATAAATCCTTCAGCTTTTGTGTGAATTCTGAACACGGTCCCATCTGTCTCTGAAAGGCATCCAAAAATAATCATTAGCTGTACATTATTTAATTTGAATGGAACACTAGGAAGTTCAAACTTTTGTCTCAAATGTCAATTTATTTTTCATGAGAAAACTTTGAGCTATTTTATGAAGGGACACGTAATACTAGGAAAGCTATGATTCACAAATTATTTCCTTCAACCATACACATGTATTCATGTATTCACACACCCCAGCGCCCAGGACTTAACTGGCATTTACACTTGCTATCACTCCATTTTTATTAAGTTACCAGAAAGGTTTTCCATCAGATAATTTTTTTTCTAGCCAGACTTAGTTGATAATTCTGAAAATCCCTAATAAACTCATATGCGCTTTCAAAGATACAATACCATGTATATACAAAATCAGTAATTAATTTAAAAATTATACACTAAATCCAATGAAAGTCATTTTATGGGAAGTCCAAGTCAAAGCAAACAATGGAATCCCCTGTGGTTGTAGGGTTGCAGAGAAACTGATGACTGCATGTGACACAGTAACTGCCCAGAATGTTCTCTTCTTATTTCAAATATATTAGTATCAGTGTAACATGAAGGTGGCAAGATGAACTGAAATTGAGTGGACATCAATTCTGCTTCTTCCAGCTCCTAAGAAGGAAGGGGAAAGCATACATAGGATATCATATGAAATCCTCTGCTCTCTTTCAGATTTGCTTGGCTTCACCCTCTGATGTGTTCCACACCACTTCACGCAACTTTTCAAAAAGATGATAAAACGTCAGGCTGAGTAGAACAGAACTGGGTGCAAATAAATCTCTCTGAAGCTAACTTGCCTCTCTCCACCCCTACTTCCCTCTGCATGTGCCTTTGCTTTATTCCTCTGCATGAGAGAAGCAGTCAAATCTTTCCTATTTTCATACCTGGACTGCTGCTCAACAGCCTCAGCAACTGAAACCTGAATGTATCCCCATTTTAAAGAATAGAACATTAAAACTGCTTCCTAGCCTTCTGATTCCACATATATAAAAGCCATTGCTACAGACATTGATTCATACAGGACCAGATACATCTGTTATAGAGTTTTTCTTTCATATACTCTTCAGTACCAGCTGCAAGGAACGACTATTTTAGGACATCATCTGGAAACACAGACAGTTAACCGTTATAAATAGGTGTATTTCATAAGAAAAATTTTCCAAATGTAACTTTGTACATTCCTCCAAAACCCATTATGCTTCTCAAAATCCCTTCTTCTTCTATCTAGTTACTTATCCTTTTCTTTTTTTTTTTTTTGAGACAGAGTCTCTGTCGCCCAGACTGGAGTGCAGTGGCATGATCTCGGCTCACTGCAACCTCCGCCTCCCAGGTTCAGGAGATGATTCTCCTGCCTCAGCCTCCAGAGTAGCTGGGATTACAGGCATGTGCCACCATGCCCAACTAATTTTTGTATTTTTAGTAGAGACAGGGTTTTTCCATGTTAGCCAGGATGGTCTCAAACTCCTGACCTCAGGTGATCCGCCCGCCTTGGCCTCCCAAAGTGGTGGGATTATAGGCATGAGCCACCACACCCAGCCTAAGTACTTATCCTTTTTAAAAAAATATTTTATTGTTAAAGTAGGCTGCCTATGTTAAAAGAGTACATTTCAATATGTAAAACAGACATTACAAACAGAACTGCAGACAACATGTGACCATTTAGGCTGAATAAACTTTCTAGTAATCATCTAGAGAGTTGACATTCTCTCTTCAAGGAGGAGGAGAACTTTTAAAGATCTTCAATCATTTATCATTCAACATTCACTGAACACCTACTAAGCTCAAGGCACTGTACTAGTCTCTGAGGGAAAATGGTAGGTAAGACACAGATCCCATCATATTGACTCAATCCAGTGTTTCAGAACACGAGAGCGGGGATATATTCCAAGTGATCTTCCCTGACTTCTCTTCTACACCTAAACATTTCTTTATTCATCTTTATTCATAAATATGCATACATATACATGTACATATAATTTATATGTATATAAACATAAATGTCTGTGTTGGTAGATAATTCTCCAGGGATCTGGAGTGGGAGTTCAGTCAGGGTGGTGGGAAAAATTGTAGAAGAAAAATTAAAAGACAGTTACAGGAAATAGTCACAAACCTTGGAAGGCCGGGGGCGTTGCATAGCTTCAGTAAAAGATTTGGCTTAAAGCAGCCTAATCCTCTTTACCTTGAATTGATAGCAAAAGAGCAAATAACAAGGGAATGTGGGGGAGTTTACCTAAATAACTTGTTTACTCATGTGGTCCTAAGACCAACCTTTGATTTTCCATGGGTGCATGACTGCTCTCTACTGGGGGCGGGCGAGGGGATGGCAATGTTAATTACCCACTAGTGGTGTTTACTCGTTGCCTTTGTCAATCTGTACTAAATAAATGTGAACTTCGCCGGCTTATTGGGGCCCACACTGCAGATTCAGGAGCAGAACCCCCTTAGCCACACTGACAGGCAAAATATCTGTGTCAGTGTACATCTCTCATCCATCGCTAGGTCAGTGTGTGCAGGTCAGACGGCCACAATCTAGCATTTCTAAATACCTTCTGAAAAAAGGGCATCAACAGCTTTGTTCAAGGACATGTGTATAACCAACAGCCTTGGAAGCTAGAGTTTCTCCCTCCAGGTCAGGGGGCAGATTTGTTTCCTAAGCAATATAAGGTAACATACTCCTTCAGGACAAAGATTAAGCAGGATCACTAGCAGCCCCCTCATAAGACCAGAGGGTTCCTAAGCTCACTGCCCCTCAGCTATAACAAAGACCCACTGAATGCATAGTATGCACCTCAGCCTACCTCCACATCACACCATTGAACTTGGGGGACAAGGAGAATCAATGTGAACACAAAGCTAATGCTGCCTGCTGTGCAGTAAGCAGTGACTGTCCAAATCCATCTGGGTTCACTGTCTCCTTACTGGCTGAATCCATGGAAGTGTGCTAGTGACCAAGGAACTGCAGTTGTCATTGCTACCTAAGAACTGCTGGGCCACTTGATTACACTTTTTTTATTTTTAATCATCTTGCTCTTTTTAACTGTTTTATCTGAGAAAGAAGTGTCTTCCTCCCTTCCACAGGAAACCCTATCACTGGTCTTGTGCTTGTTTTTTGTTTTTGTTTGCTTTTTGAGACTGGGTCTCACTCTGTCACCCAGGCTAGAGTGTAGTGGGATGATCATGGCTCACTGCAGGGTTGACCTCCTGGGCTCAAACAGTCCTCCCACCTCAGCCTCCTGAGTAGCTGAGATTACAGGCATGCACCATCATGCCTGGCTAATTTTTATTATTATTTTTTGTAGAGATGGGGGCCTTGCTATGTTGCCCAGGCTGGTATTGAACTTCTGGCCTCAAGCAATCCTCCCATATTGGCCTCCCAAAGTGCTAGGATTACAGGTGGTGTGCCACCACACCTGGGCAGTGCTTGTATTTTCTATCCCTCCCTCTAATTATTCCTCTCCTCTACTAAGAAAATATTTATCTTCTTGTATGAAAAAAAAAATTCAGTGCTACTAATTCCCTTAAGCTACTGACCTATCATTCTTTATCCTTTCATCTGCAGTCTTCTTAAAATATAATTCTCTCATCCATTTTGCCACAAGCCACTCTTTTCACAACTACTTGTACCATGGCTTCCGACATACCTTGTCTCTGAAGCTCCTTTCTCAAACGTTACCAATGACCTCCTAATTACCACTGTGCAAGAAAGAGAAAACTCAGCAGGAGTGGGGTGCTCAAATTATGCACATTCCCACGAACAGCCTGTCTTCAGGACTGGCTCCTAAGAGCTGAGCTAAGAGTCCTGGTAACATTCTACCTGTTAATAGTGTGGGTTTTATCAGGAGATGAAGCTTGTAGTGAGCCGAGATCACGTCACTGCACTCCAGCCTGGGCAACAGAGTGAGACTCCATCTCAAAAAAAAAAAAGAGTATGGGTTTCATTTTTTATTTATTCTTTTTTTTTTTTTTTTTTTGTATGCCTGAAGTGTTGGACCACACAGTCTGATTAAAGGATTTAGGCTAAAAATGTGATTTATGGTAAATCTTCTTGCTCTAGAGACTGGAGTCTGAGTAGCTGAAATGAGTCACGTAAGTATTACATGCTGACAAGATTGACCCCAATTAAAATTCTGACAAGGAGGCTCAAATGAGCTGTCCTGGTTGGGAACACATATCATATGTTGTCACACATGATTGCTAAGAAAATTAAGCATGTCTGTGTGACCCTACTAGAGGAGACACCTGGACACTTGCTCCCAGTTTCTCCTGGACTTCATTCCATGCAACTCTTTCTTTGTTCATTTTAGTCTGTATTCTTACACTGCAATAAACTCCAACCATGAATATAACAGTTTTTCTGGGTCCTATAAGTGCTTCTGGCAAATCACTGAGTGTGAGGGTGCTTTGGGCACCCCTGACATAGCCACATTCTGTGGCCCTTATCCAGTCCTACGCTTCTATAGCTTCTGAACCTGCTGAACCAATCTCAAAATTCTCTTCCCTTACCGCCCAGGCACCACAGTGTCCTGGTTCTTTTTCTACATCCCTGCTCATCGCTGCACTGTTTTTCTACTTTTCCTAAACCCCTAAATGACAGGCATTCTCTAAAGCGTAATTCCACAAACAACTTTCTTCCTCCAGTTATCTAGGCTTTTTTTTTTTTTTTTTTTGAGATGGAGTCTCACTCTGTTGCCCAGGCTGGAGTGCAGTGGTGTGATCTCGGCTCACTGCAACCTCCGCCTCCCAAGTCCAAGCAATTCGCCTGCCTCAGCCTCCCGAGTAGCCAGGATTACATGTGCCCGCCACCACACCTGGTTTTTAGTAGAGATGGGGTTTCACCATGTTGGCTAGGCTGGTCTCAAACACCTGACCTCAGGTGATCCGCCCACCTCGGCCTCGGCCTCCCAAAGTGCTGGGATTACAGGTGTGACTCACAACACCTGGCCTAGGCATAAAATCTTAAAGCTGCTTTCCACTTTTTTTTTTCCTTCCTTTCATACTTAGCATTCAACTGCCAAATCCCACAAGTCCTCCAGAATTTCTCTCCCTTCCACCCTCCTAATTCAGGCCTTTCTCTGGCTTCTGCAATAGTGGTCTCCTAGCCGCCTGCCTCGCCCCACACCAAATCATCCCAATACCACTCTCCCAAACTGAAATGAATTACAAATTCCTCCATGCAACGCCTAGGGCCAGCCTACCACTCTGACTTCCTCTCCCCTCACTCTTTGCTTCATTACCCATTTTATACCATGTCCTCAGTCTCAGGTGTTCCATCTCTGCCTCTTGCTCCTACTATCTCCAAGAAGGCCCTTAACTTTCTGTCTACTAAAATTTTGTCCAGTTCCACAGTTCCTCCTTAAGTCCCACCTAATGACTTCCATGGTATTTCAAACTTATTTCATGGTATTTTCATGCCCAGAATTATTGTGGTTAAACTAAATTAACATTTTTCCAGCACTGAAATATCTTGATTTTCTTTTTAAACAGCAACCAAAATGGGGGAATACAAAAAAACTTTTAAACTTTACAGTCATATAGCTTTTGGAATTGTGCTAGTAGCTTGTAATCATGGATCTCACAGGTACAGAAATCCCTGGTATCTGTGTTAAATAATG